ACTTCTGTTATTGTCAGTTGCACTGCTTGCCACGTTTAGTGTAGCTTTCTCTGTCAGCGGCAAGGGATTCAAATGTGATAATTGTGAAATTGTGAACATAACTGTTAAAGGAAGGCTGCAGAATCCTGTGCCAGCTGGTCACTCGCACTAACGCCTATTCCCTTCACTTTTCCGTGTTTTGACTTTTTAAAAAAAGTCTAAGGTATTCTTTAACTTGGACCTTATTTTTGAAACACAAAATGTCAAGTACCAAAAGCAGCCCATATTAAGTCTATAAGTTGTCTTTAATTGAAAAATATGCATTTTCATATACTTGCATATACCTGATGAAAGTGCCCTAGGCAATTCTATTGTACAGAACATGAAAATAGCAGATTCCAGAATCCACCCCTTCAATAGAGACACCAGCCACCATAGTCCAATGTTAACCAAGAGCCAGAGCGCCTGACATCTTGGCAAATTTGAAAGAGCTGGCTAATGCTAATTGCTGCTCTTCTCCCTAGAAATATGGCACAGTCTTAAGAGTTTGTACTGGACTAACTGGGGCCCAGGTCAGGAAGCGGATTGACCGTCTGCTAGCCGCCTCATGTCACAGAAGTCAGTTAAAGCGCTTTTTGTAAATGATATAATCACAGATCAAAAACTAGATGTGCTCTCATTGACAGAAACCTAGCTAAAACCAGATGATTACATTACTTTAAATGAGTTTACCCCCCCAAGATTACTGTTATAAACATGAGCCGCATCCAAAAGGTAAAGAGGGAGGTGTTGCTACAAGTTATAGTAATATTTTCAGTATTTCTCAGAGTTCTGATTTCAAGTCATTTGAAGTAATGGTGCTTTATGTAACATTATCTAGTGTAATAAGTATTAAGGATAAATCCATACTGACATTTGTACTGGCTACTGTGTACAGGGCACCATACAGACTTTATCAAAGAATTTGCTAGTTGAGTTAGTGCTGGCTGCAGATAAAGTATTAATTGTTGGCAATATTAATATCCCTGTAGATAATGAAAAAGATGCATTGGGATCAGCATTTATAGACATTCTATACTCTATTGGGGTCAGACCACACATATCAGGACCTAGTCATAGTCATAATCATACTCTGAATTTAATACTGTTACATGGAACTGATGTTAATGCCATTGAAATTTTGCAGCAGAGCGATGATATCTCAGATCATTATCTAGTCTCGAGTATTCTCCATATAGCTAAAGCTGCAAATTCAACTCCTTGTTACAAATATGGTAGAACCAACTGCTTTGTAAATAATCTTCCTGATTTGTCTCAATTCTCAATTCAAAAACTATGGACTCTCTCTTTTCTAGCACTTTAGATACGGTTGCTCCTTTACATTAAAGAAGATTAAGGAAAACAGTCAGACACCATGGTATAATGAGCACACTCGTGCCCTAAAGAGAGCAGCCCAGAAAATGGAGCGCAGCTGGAAGAAAACTAAACTAGAGGTATTTTGTATTGCATGGAGGGAAAGTACTTCCTCCTCTAAAAAAGACTTAAAAACTGCTAGATCTGCTTGCTTTAATCTCTTTTAGAAGAAAACTAACACAACCCCAGGTATTTATTCAGTATTAATTTCTTAATTTATTCAAATTAATGAAAAATAAAGCATCAACAGGCACTGACATTTCTGAATAGCACAGCAGTAATGACTTTATGAACTTCTTTACTTCCAAGATCGATACTATAGAGATAAAATTATAACCATGCAGCCGTCAGCTACAATATCGCATCAGTGCGCTATAGACCCACTGAGGAACAATTCCACTCATTATCTGCTATAGGTGAAGAAGAATTGTATAAACTTGTTAAATCATCTAAACCAACATGTATAGACCCTATACCAGGGATCCTCAAATCTGGCCCACGAGATCCACTTTCCTGCAGAGTTTAGCTCTAACCCTAATCAAACACACCTGAGCATGCTAATCAATGTCTTCAGGATCATTAGAAAAATCACAGGTAGGTGAGTTTGATCAGGGTTGGAGCTAAACTCTGCAGCGCATTGGACCTCCAGGGCAAGATTTGAGGAACCCTGCCCTATACCATCTAAGCTGCTAAAATTGGTACTTCCAGAAGTCATAGATCCTCCTCTGAATATTATTAATTCGTCATTGTCATTAGGATATGTCCCAAAAACCTTCAAACTGTGATTAAGCCTCTCATTAAAAACCACATCTTGATCCTAGAGAATTAGTCAATTACAGACCTATCTCAAATCTCCCTTGCTCTCATCAGAGTTACAAATGACCTGCTCTTATCATCCGACCATGGTTGTATCTCTCTATTAGTGCTACTGTATTAGCAATTATTTTGCACCCAATTTGCAAATGGAATGCATAGTTGATATAAAAAACTGGATGACTAGTAATTTCCTACTGCTAAATTCTGAAAAAAACAAAAGAGAGGTGTTAATTATCGGACCAAAAACCTCTGTATGTAACACCCTAGACCAGTGGTTCCCAACCCTGGTCCTGGAGGCACCCCAACACTGCACGTTTTGCATGTCTCCTTAATCAAACACACCTGATTCAGGTCATCAGCTCATTAGTAGAGACTCCAAGACCTGAAATTGGAGCATCAGAGAAAGGAGACATGCAAAATGTGCATGTCAACATATTCTGTTACACCAAATACACAAAATAATGATCTTTAAAAAAGCATCATATGACCCCTTTAAAAACTGGATGACGAGTAATTTCTTACTGCTAAATTCTGAAAAAACAGAGGTGTTAATTATAGGACTAAAAACTCTCACCTAGAACACTTAGAACACTATCTAAGACTTGATGGCTGCTCTGTCAATTCTTCGTCATCAGTTAGGAACCTATTTGACAGCAATCTTTCCTTTGAAAGCCATGTTTCTAGCATTTGTAAAACCGCATTTTTCCATCTTAAAAATATATCTAAATTACGACCTATGCTCTCAATGTCAAATGCAGAAACATTAATTCAGGCGTTCATGATCAAGGTTAGATTATTGTAATGCTTTATTGGGTGGTTGTTCTGCACGCTTAATAAACAAACTCCAGCTGGTCCAAAATGCAGCAGCTAGAGTTCTTACTAGAGCCAGGATGTATGACCATATTAGCCCAGTTCTGTCAACACTGCACTGGCTACCTATAAAAAATTGTATAGATTTTAAAATCTTGCTTATTACTTATAAAGCCCTGAAAGGTTGAGCTCCTCAGTACTTGAGCAAGCTCTCATCACATTATTGTCCTTGACATCTGCTGCGCTCTTAAAACTCTGGCCATTTGATAATACCTAGAATATCAAGGTCAACTGCAGGCAGTAGATCCTTTTCCTATTTAGTTCCCAAACTCAATCTACCTAACAATCTACCTAATGTTGTTTGGGAGGCAGACACACTCTGTCAGTTTAAATCTAGATTAAAGATCTCTTTAACATAGCTTACACATAATACACTATCACATTTCTATAATTCAAATCCGTTAAAGGATTGTTATGCTGCATTAACTAGGTCATCCGGAACCGGGAACACTTCCCATAACACTCAATGTACTTGCTGCATCATAAGAAGAATGGCATCTACGCTAATATTAGTCCGTTTCATTCTTATTCAGATGGTCACTGCCAGGGGTGCCTGCAGGATTTCAGCTGAGGTATGCACAGAGATACCTTTTTTTTTTAATGAAGGTATTTCTAGACACGTAAAAAATCTTTTAACCCTGAAAACGGCAAAAAGCAATGGAATGGTCAAAGACATCCATTGCATTTTCCCATAGGAAAACAACTGAAAACGCGGGTGCGGGTGGACACAAAAACCATTTCGGATTAATTTGTTTAAAGTTTACTTTCAAAATGTAGTCTTTTGTTTCAGTTGTTTGTAGTTGATTATCCACTTTATCCAGCACAGTTTCATCTCTGTGTTCTTGTTTGGTTTACTGACTGTGAAACGTCTTCAGATGATTCAGCATAGGTGGTGAACCAAGGCTAAAAGTAGCCTATAATGTTGGTGTAATCTATTAAATATACTGTACATCATAAACCCGTCTTTTTAGGCAAATACCAGATATGGGTGTCATGTCAAAATATTTTAACAACCTATGACTGAATTTATCTTTAACGTGATCACAGTTTAATAAAAACATTGTAAGTTACTAAATATTTCATTATTTTGTTTAATTTCCATGGCTAACCAAACAGTGAATAAATTATATGCTGAAAGAGAGCAAAGAACATTTATATGATCACATTATCACTAACTATAGTCTAGCGTGAGTTTAAACTCTCAAAAACTCCCATTATTATCAACAAAGCTGTCTACACAGTGAAATTAAACACTTATTTACATCACACATACATCTGCACTTTGTTGTTTAATGATGAGAGAATTCACGAGAGAGCAGAAGCAGTCAGTGAGCGCGTACACTGAACAAACCTCCGGCATTTCAGTGATGACTAATCTGAACGCCACTAACTGGCCTATTTTACACAATCTTATTGTTGTATTGTATAAAGCACTATATAATTAAAGGTGACTTGACTTGACATATCTGCCACAGTAGGAAAATTAGTTTGGCAATCAGAAATGTAATTCAATTTAAGATTTTTATGTTGGGTAGTTTTATTAGGTTTCCCAGATCTGGCCCAGACTTTGTTAGTGCCCCCAAACCTCAAAACACTGAAACGCTGGCAACATTTGGACTTAAATCTCCTGCAGAAATTAACTTTATATGAAGTTTTTAATAGGACAAAATTGCTGAAAATGACGCAGATGAGTGTTGCAACTTACCAGTTAACAAATAAAAGGAACTGGAAAACTTGTGTTATAACCTCAAAAAACAGAAGCAAAGACAACAAAGCCACAAACCATTATGTCACAAGATCATGTGCTTCACATCTTATGCCCTGAAAATTGTATACTGCTATATAGTCTCAACCTATCCATAAAAAGCATAACTGAAGAGCAGAGCAGTGCAGCCTAAACAAACTATTAATACAGGGTTATAATGTTTGACAGTGAGAGATCAGAGACACCTGAAGTTATTTATAACAATGTAGATACTGTAGGACGTCTTGATCTGAGGATCACAGAAAAACAGCAGCCACTTCGACACACAGGTACTAACATAATTTATCTGATACATTATATCAGTCAGACAAAACTATTTCAGTATCTTTTAAGAATAAAACAAAGTTCTTGACAGTGTTGGGAGTAAAGCATTACAAGTAACGCAAGCTATGTAATCAAATTACTTTTTAACTTGTAATGTTAATGCATTACTTTTTAATTTACAAGTCATATCCGAGTTAACTTTTTCAAATAAGTAACGCAAGTTACTTAGTTTTCCCATTTATTGACACTAAGAGAAATCGGGAGTAAGGTAACACATTGTTATGGTGTTAAACGTAACACATTACTTTCTATAGGAAACAACTAAGTAACGCAATTAGTTACTTTTTCAGGGAGTAACGCAATATTGTAATGCATTACTTTTAAAAGTAACTTTCCCCAAGACTGGTTCTTGATGTAATGTCATAGTGAAGTATAAGTGTGAAGACACATTTAATTTTGTGTCTGTCATCCACAGGAAGTGTCTCAGTGAAGAACAGAAAGCACGCAGCACCTATAGTGTGTTTGTGTCTGCTGTGTTTTCTTCTGCTGATTGCTGTAATAGTGCTGTGTGTGTGTTTCACCTCCGAGAGAAAGCAGTTATTAACTCACATCACTAACCTGACTGAGGAAAGAGAGCATATTCTCACCAAATATGAGCAGATACTGAACCACATCAATAATCTGCCTGAAGAAAGAGTGCAGATAATGGAACACAACAATAATCTGACTGAAGAAATAAAGCAGTTAAGGAATGACAAGAACCGACTGCATAGTTGGCTTTATGAACAAGGTAATTGTCTTTTTAATTGCCCTCAAGTATTAAAAAATACTTTAATAACCAGTTGTATTAACAGATCAGCAAGGGGAACCCTTCAAATGGATTTACTACAACTTCAGTTTTTATTATATTTCATCTGAGAAGAAAAGCTGGAGTGACAACAGCAGAGATTGTCAACAGAGAGGAGCAGAACTGGCGATCTTAAACAAAGATGGGGAACAAGTGAGCGACAATGAAATTTTGTGTGTTTGTTCACAGTGCTGCTTGAAAGTTTGTGAACCCTTTAGAATTTTCTATATTTCTGCATAAATATGGCCCAAAACATAATTGGATTTTCACACAAGTCCTGAAAGTTGACAAAGAGAATCCAACTCTTTAGAGATGGCTTTGAAACATTTTCTAGCCTGATGAGCAACACCAACTCTTTTTCCTTCAAATTAACTGCCAATCCTAGAGATTCACATACTTTTGCCGCTCACAGATATGTAATATTGGATCATTTTCCTGGATAAATAAATGACAAAGTGTATATTTTCATCTCATTTGTTTGATTGTGTTCTCTTTGTCAACTTTCAGGACTTGTGTGAAATTTTGATTATGTTTTGTGTCATATTTATGCAGAAATATAGAACATTCTAAAGGGTTCACAAACTTTCAAGCAGCACTGTATTACACAATGGTAATGCAAAATATTCATAATATTATGGGACATTCAATCTGCACTATATATATATATATATATATATATATATATATACTATATAAATATAAATCTACATGATATACTGTATAATATGTAAGCCCGTTTCCACCACTATATACAAAAATAGGTAAATGTGCCTTTTTATCTAACAATTCTGACTTTTTTCTCGCCATTGTGAGTTTACATCTCACAATTCTGACTTTTTTCCTCAGAGAAAAAGTCAGAATTGCTAGATGCAAACCACGAATTCTGACTTTATAACTCACAATTGTGTTTATATCTTACAATTCTCAGAAAAAAAGTCAGAATTGCGAGATGTAAATTCGCAATTGCGAGAAAAAAAAGTCAGAATTGTTAGATAAAAAGTTGCAATTACCTTTTTTTTATTCAGTGGTGGAAACGGGCCTACATAGTATAGACATGAAGCATTACAGTCCTTTATTTTGTTATTTCAGGAGTTTTTGCAGAAGGTTGTTGAGAACAATTATTTTTGGATTGGTCTGATAAACACAGAGAGTGGGTGGAAATGGAGTGATGGCACCATAACACCAAATCAGTAAGAGATCACTGAAATTAAAGGAATAGTTTTCAAAAATACAAATATACTCACCCTCAGGCCATCCAAGATGTAGCAGAGTTTGTTTCTTCATCTCAACATATTTGGAGAAATGTAGCATTACATCACTTGCTCACCAATGGATCCTCTGCAGTGAATGGGTGCCATCAGAATGAGAGTCAAAACAGCTGATAAAAACACCACAATAATCCACAAGTAATCCACACCACTCCAGTCCATCAATTAACATTATTAATATTATTAACAATTAACATAACAAGTGGATAGCTGCATGTTTGTAAGAAACAACTTCATCAAGGCTTGTTCTGTGCTGTGATCATGCAGCTTTCCTGAAATGACAAGTGATGTAATGCTAAATTTCTCCAAATCAGTTCTTATGAAGAAACAAACTCATCTACATCTTGGATGGCCAGAGGAAGAGTAAATCTTCAGCAAATTCTCATTTTTCAGTGAAATATTCTTTAACTGATCATTAGCCTGAAATCTACAATTAGTATCATACATATCATAAACCCAGTCTAAATTATTTAAAATATAAATACTGGTGTAAAAATCAATGTTCTAGGTCTGGGACTGACAACTGTGCTGCAGTGGGAGCATCAGGGAATGTTCATTATCATTGTGATACTACACACCAATGGATCTGTAAGAGAACGTTGAATTATTAATAAATCACTCATTATGAAACAAATGTGTAAATACAGTAAACTAAATGCATAAAGGATTTTAAACAGCTGCACTCATGCTTAGCATTTGTTAGTCATTATGAAATTTGTGCTTAAGTAACTTCTCTTTTCACGTTTTACCATCAATTCTAATTTTGCAATTTGGTGTCCTTACCAACATTGTTACTGTTTAAAAATGTAAAATAGTTCATTTATTTTGTTTTTATAAATTGTAAATAAATGTACTGTGAGCATCTTGTGCCAAGTTTCTAAGGCTTCTACAGTTATCTCTACTAGAGAAATTTTCTAGGCCTACTTTTTTTTTTTTTTTACCATCACATACCATCACACACAGAGGCATCATGCTCATTCAAAGTGAGAGGGCACGTGCCCCCTAAGATTTTTGAGCCACTGGGATTTTGTATGCAGCTTCCAAAAGACAAAAAATAGCCGATTAATATGTTCTATATTTAATACATACTGGTAAAAAATGTATAGCCTGAATGCACTGTAAGTCGCTTTGGTTAAAAGCGTCTGCTAAATGCATAAATTATTATTATTATTTTTATTAATAATACAATCACACCAGCGTGATTAGAACGTTCAGTGCGTCATATCATCAGCTGCTAGATTCAAATCTGCGTTCGCTGACTGGCGCTGAGCCAGATAAAGACGCGTTTTTACAGCACTGCGCATTAACCAATCACACACGATGCTGTTGAGCTTATGAATGCAATGACCAATCAGAGGTGTTCAGATGAGTCATCGCTAAAATGCCGGTGTTTTCTTTACTCGCTGGCTGACTGAATACCTCTTTTCTGGCGAATTCTCTTGGCAGAAACAACAAAGTGCAAATGTGTGTACGAATCTGTAAGATATTAATTTCATAGTATAAACAGCTTCAGTGATTTTAATGGGAGTTTAGACTAGACTGTCAGTGAAAATGTTCTTTGATAATGTTCTTTGCTCTCTTTTTGTACAATGAAAGTGTTATGATTAGTATCCTAACTTGCAATGTTTTTATTCACATTAACTTTCAATGCTAAATTCACATTAAGGGAAAGTTCACGCAAAAAATGAAAATCATATCATTAATTACTAGGGGGTGTAAATCAGATGGTTCGTCACGATACGATACGATATCGGTTCTCATACCCAGCGATACGATATTTGCCGATACCTCAAAAAAATTCTACGATACGATTACGATTCGATTCGATGCAGGAGTATATCGATCGATATATTGATATTATGATATTATATATGTATTTTAAACAACCATCTACATGTTTACTAACTCACAAATGCAACCAAAATATATAACATGAACATTCACATTTATAACCATATGCAAAATACAGTCATACAATGTACTATGTGAGATGCTTATGTAGAATAGGGGTGTAAATCGGATGGTTCGTCACGATACGATACGATATCGATTCTCATACTCAGCGATACGATATTTGCCGATACCTCAAAAAATTATACGATACGATTACGGTTCAATTTGATACAGGAGTATATCGATCGATACATCGATATTATGATATTATATACCTATTTTAAATAACCATCTACATTTTTATTAACTCGCAAATGCAACCGAAAATATATAACATGAACATTTATCTGAAATTTTCACATCCTGTACCTCAATTGGGACATTCACAACAAAAAAATAGGCCTACACATTTTTTTTAAAATAATAAATAAAATAAACAATTGGAAAAACAATTGTGGCTGCTACTATGGGCTCAGTGCTAAAAATCTTTTCTACAGATGACCAAATTACAAGCAATAGCAGAAAATAAATACAATACAACAAAGACACAAGTTCAATAAACAGTGCTTTTCAGGTTTTTCAGCTCGGTCTAAAATAAATGTTCAGGTATGCTACAGAAATTTAATAATTAAATAGCCTAACTGCATAGTCTTCACTGTATAAATTAAATATAGATGAATCATTTTTGATGTTACAAAGGTTATTTAGTCAGGAGCAGTGAGCACTTGTATTTTACTTTGACAGCATTAGATTTATTATTAGTTTGCTTTCACTTTTAGAACGAAGCACGGATTTAATATACTGATACACGTGCCTTCTGAACTATTTACGTTAAGACATATGCGCCAAAACGCGCATTTTGATGTAATTTTGTATGTATTTATTCATCCATGCACAAAAAAAGCGAAAGAGAGTGTGCGTGCGCGCAGAATATTGTTAAATATTATTGCAATTTCTAATATTGGTTTCCTATCTCATTATACTTTAAAATATAATTTATTTCTGTGACGCAGCACTGTATTTTCAGCATCATTACTCCAGTCCTCGGTGTCACATGATCCTTTTATAAATCATTCTTATTCTGATTTATTCAGTAATATTGTTAAATATTATTGCAATTTCTAATATTGGTTTCCTATCTCATTATACTTTAAAATATAATTTATTTCTGTGACGCAGCACTGTATTTTCAGCATCATTACTCCAGTCCTCGGTGTCACATGATCCTAATCATTCTTATTCTGATTTATTATCAGTGTTGAAACTGTTGTGCTGTTTAATATTTTTTTGGAACCTTTGTTCCATAAATAAAATAAAAAGTTAAAAAGAACAGAATTTATTAAAAATAGAAATCTTTTCTAACAATATCACTTTTTATCCATTTAACACATCCTTGCTGAATAAGAGTATTCTAAAAGTTTCTTTAAAAAAAAAGAAAAGAAGAAGAAGAAAAAGACATTTACTGACCCCAAATGTTTATTATTTTTTTAATAGTTGTGTATATTTAACACAATTTTTATTTTGAATAAATACTGTTCTTTTTAACCTTTTATTTATCAAATAATCCTGAAAAATATCACAGGTCCCAAAAAATATTAAGCAACACAACTGTTTCCAACATTGATTGATTATAAATCATTAGAATGATTTCTGAATATCATGTGACACTAAAATCTGGAAATGTTAAACTTCTTTAAACTATGTTGTCTCTATATTAAAACATTTATCACGTTATGGAAAAAGTCATTCATCTGTATTTTTGTAATTTGTGATGGTGATTTTAGATTGTTGGGTTATTAGATTGTGCGTAAATGATTAAGAGAGCTCGTTCAGAGCTCATCATTTACTATCAGTGCACCTCCTGGATCCAAGAGGTCCTCACTGCAGCCTGTAGCGCGATGAAACAAGAGAACAAAAAGAAGCAAACCTCCTAAACCTCTTGTTTTTGAGATGGTCCTCACTGCAGAACACAAGATCCAAGATCCAACTCCTCCCACCTTACATATACCTAAACCTACCCGTCTCCACCACCTGATCCCTAAACCCACCCATCTCCACCCCTAAACCTACCATCTCCACCCCCGTAGATGTGTATCCAACCCCGCCCCCTGGATCTTGTGTTCTGCAGTGGGGGCTACTGTGTTTTTCCAAGTACTGCTCACTGCAGAGCCAAATGACCTCCAGCTCCCCCTCTCTGGATGTCCAGCTCCAACTCTGTGTGAACGAGGATGGAGCTCCGCCATGTGGTCATGAAGAATGATGTCAACTATCTATATTAATATAGTATCAAAACTTAACGTGCGTTCAGAATGAATTAACATTCACATGTATTTTTTCACCATCAGTTTTATTTCATAATCTTCGTGTGGTTTAAAATGTAAAACAAATAGGCTCTACTATTGTATACATATTATCATTATTATAAATATTTTAATTACACAGTAAGATAACTTTGAGATTTAACTTTAACAAACATTTAACACAGCAATAACTGTTAATGTAATTATTTTTTCCCCCAGCAAGAAAGGAAAAGATAGATGTTTCATTTGTGCAGCGGCTCCCAAAATGTGTGGCTACATTTAAATCTAATGCAATGTGATGCATTACAACTGCAGGCACTACACATTCACTATTTGGTGAAAAATAATTGAAAGAATGGCTCTTGCAAAAGATGCAGAAATATACAGATAATGGAAAAAGCCCCTTTATTTATTTATTTTAATAGCAGGAATGTAAAGGAAATACCACAGAGGGTTAAAATACCTGATTCCCTGCATGTATCAGCATTAATGTGCATGGTATATCATACATGATTGCGATGTCTTTTTCACAGTTCACTTTGGTAACAAGAGAGTAATAAACATTTTATTTATTTATTTTTGAGTTTATATTTTTTTTTTTCAGATTTCACATTAGATTTTGAATCTGCCAAACGCACTTCACTTGCATCTGGCAATTACTGATATTTGAGTCATCCACAGGAGAGCAGCCAAAAGCTTAGGGCAAAAATTAAAATGTTTATATATATAGTTTATTATAAACTATTTAATAAATATGCAGTTCTGCATGCATGTGAACTGAAAATGTAAGCTCATCCATCATGACTTTCCTATGACAATCATGAGAACAGCATGTGAGGGATACACTGTATAATTGCTTTGTCATCATGAAAGGCAATGCATGGTTAAAGATTGAGCACTATGGCAAGTAGCCAAACTGGAAAGCCATTGAGGATTTATTGGTCCCTCCGAGTTCTCTAATTTAAATAATTAATAATAATTAAATATTATTAAAATTATTATTATTTAATACTTTAATTACATTAAATGTTAATGTAATACGCCATAAAATGATAAAACTGTAAATGACATTAAACTGCTGTTCCTGACGCACCAAAGAACGACTTAAAATATGCATGTCAAAAACTTTATGCTCTTATTGATAAAATATTACAGTTTATTGTTGTAATCTTAAGGTGATGTAAATAATACTGTATTGTAGACACGCGCTATAACACTTTTTTGTCCTGGTATTTCTTTATTTTTTTTCATGTTTATGTTTATGTACATTTTAGGTTTTGTTGTTGTTATTCTGTTTTACATGCTCTAAACTGTACGACATTGCTTTATATCTGCCTTGTATTTGTATGTGATGGAACTAAATAATAATAATAATAATAATAATAATATAAAAAAAATGTAGCACGCGCTGTACTGCGCATAATCAGCCACGCCTCCTTAAAACTCGCGGCTGCCACTTTAGCACGAGCCAGTCAGTCAGTCACAAACAAACGCTCGTAAACACAGAGTATATGAAATAAGATTAAAACGATGGCGTCAGAAACATGATACAAATGCTGACTTTACAACACAGTGAGTCTGAGTTTTATTCGTTTATACGGAGAGTTGTCAAGCTGCGCTTTTTACGTCGGGTTAGCATGTTAGCTTATAACTCTTCCAATTGTGGTTTGTTTGACAGAATTTGTCAGAAGACCAACAATAAGTCGAGTTTCATTTAGTTTGATCCATAATAAATTACCAGTCAAGCGCTAAATATATATATTTTTTCAGATTGAGGGGTAATATTAATTGGCTAAGCTAATTTAATGCATTTATTTATATTATGTCTTTATATATGTGTGTCTTCTGTCAAACTGTCGTTTGTAAATGTAGCTAGTAAACATCCACAATGGCCTGTCAGGGTCATATAAACCCGAGGTTTACTTCACGTTAATGTCGTTACCATCAGATATGGCGTATCGTTAGTATCACTGGAGGTTGTGAGGCTCAAATCTCTGAGTGTGTTGATAGTTTGAGGCGGTCGGCAAGAGGAAATCCACTATCTGTGTGTCAAAACACACTTTATTCTTGCTTGGGCCACACGCAGGTGAATTTATCGCGTTTGGGGCTCATATTCAGCATGGCTAAGCTTCAGTCTGGTAACGGAGTGCAGTGGAAGGACCGCAGGAGTCAGCGGGGCCCGGTGGAGAGTCTGGCCGAGCACGAGAGCTCTTCTCTGGGCACAGACTCTGAGCTCAACGGCTTCGCCAACACGGAGATCCAGACAGACAAGTACGGATTCATAGGAGGAGCTCAACAAAGCGCAGGAGAAAAGTAAGTGGCATTTACATGTATGGAGGTAAAAGAAAGACACTAAACCATTAAAAACGGTTTATACTATAGAAACCGGTGATTTAGAATAGCTATGAGTGTATTAGTAACTTTATAATAACTTTCATTCATAACATTAAGAGATATTATTGCATTATGTAATACTCATCATGAACAACAGTTATAAATGTGAAACGTTTGCATGAACATTCAAATGCCCTTGAGCTACTGATTAAGCATTATGTAATGACTTACTCATGAAAGTTACTGTGAAGCATACTGTTTTTTGCTATGCCTTATTGGAGTTTGTCATTTTTTTCACACCTTCATGAGTGTTTTCATTAAGTGGACTCTGAATTGTTTTTGAGGACAGTCTGTCCTGCAGGACTTCGTTCTTGTCCATGTGAGCGCAGATGAGTTGACAGGTCTATAACACCACTGAAGTCCCCAGTGGTTGTTCTTGCTGAGTTCTTCTAATCTGACTAGCTTTGAGAAGTGCTTGCTCAGCTCACATTCCTCCATCCATGTAAGACCGAACGGATGTTGTTATATAATATTTTAAGCTCTGTCTGTTTGGTATCATTTGCTTTCCCTTTCCTGGCACTTTTTGAAATGCAGTGAAATCAAATTTGAGTAACTCAGAATAAATAAGGACTGAATTATTGAGTTAAAAAAACAGTTAATGTTTAGATTTTTTTGTGTTTTATTTTATAAACTTATTAAACTTTTTTTTTTTTTAAATCACAAAGTGTAATATGTTTCCCTACAGAGATTTTGGACATATATACATATATACGGTACAATTTTTAAAAATGTTTTTGAAAGAGGTCTCTTCTACGGTGACACATTGCTGCCACACACATATTATTTTTTCCACTCAATTATGTCGTAATAACGAGATGTTATGTTGTTTTAACAACATCATTTCTCGTAATAATGAGATGTTTTCTCTTTAAAAGGACATATTTTCTTGTTAAAACGACATCTTTTCTCGTAATAATGAGATGTTTTCTCATTAAAAGGACATCTTTTCTCGTTAAAACGTCATCTTTTTTCGTAATAATGAGATTTTTTTTTCTCGTTAAAACGTCATCTTTTCTCGTAATAATGAGATGTTTTCTCGTTAAAACGTCATCTTTTCTCGTAATAATGAGATGTTTTCTCGTTAAAACGAGAAAATCTTTTCTCGTAATAATGAGATGTTTTCTCACTAAAAGGACATATTTTCTCGTTAAAACGTCATCTTTTCTCGTAATAACGAGATGTTTTCTCGTTAAAAGGACATCTTTTCTCGTAACAACGACATCTTTTCTCGTTAAAACGACATATTTTCTCGTTAAAACGACATCTTTTCTCGTAATAACGAGATGTTTTCTCGTTAAAAGGACATCTTTTCTCGTAACAACGACATCTTTTCTCGTTAAAACGACATATTTTCTCGTTAAAACGACATCTTTTCTCGTAATAACGAGATGTTTTCTCGTTAAAAGGACATCTTTTCTCGTAACAACGACATCTTTTCTCGTTAAAACGACATATTTTCTCGTTAAAACGACATCTTTTCTCGTAATAACGAGATGTTTTCTCGTTAAAAGGACATATTTTCTCGTAATAATGAGATGTTTTCGCGTTAAAAGGACATCTTTTCTCGTAACAACGACATCTTTTCTCGTTAAAACGTCATCTTTTCTCGTAATAACGAGATGTTTTCTCGTTAAAAGGACATCTTTTCTCGTAACGACATCTTTTCTCGTTAAAACGACATCACGAGAAAACATCTCATTATTACGAGAAAAGATGTCGTTTTAACGACAAAATATGTCCTTTTAACGAGAAAACATCTCGTTATTACAACATAATTGAGTGGAAAAAAATGTGTGTGGCAGCAATGTGTCACCGTACTCTTCTGCTCACCAAGTCTGCATTTATTTGATCAAAAAACAACAACAACAGTAATATTGTGAAATAATACATTAAAGTAATTGTTTTCTATGTGAATATAGTTTAAAATGTAATTTATTTCTGTTTCATTACTCCAGTCTTCAGTGTCACATGATCCTTCAGAAATAATTCTAATATGCTGATTTGCTGCACAAGAAA